AGACTCCTCGAATATTTTTCACCATTGTCGGCTCGATCTCCAACTCCAATGCTTTCGCAGCTTCCTCCGAAATGACGCTGATCGCTGCCCCGCTGTCGATTCGCGCGGTCCACTCTTTACCATTTATTCGAATTTCCTTTGTGTCCAGATCTCCGGATGACAATTCTTCCTGATCCGTCTCGTCAACGTCAGCTTCCATCTTCAGTACGGTTGTACAATCTCGTTTCGTATGACCCGGTTGTTGACATCTGTAGCAGATGAGAGTACTGCGGCTTCTCAATGGTGTTGTGGCTGCTGGAGTACTCGCTCCACTCTCCTTGAAACCCGCACTGCTCGGTGTCGCCGCCGGTGCCGCCACTCGAGACCTGGCGTCTCCTCGTGGTATCCATTTCGGAGCTTGATTCATTGGCGTCATCTGAACTGATGGGTGATTCGGCATCGCTGACATCTCTCTTGTACTTCCTCGGATACCTTGGGTCAATCGACTCGGAGTATACGAACTCGACTCCCAGGTTGTCTCGTTCGAGCTCGAGCGCTCTCGTCCATCTCGGTTCGGACAGAACATCGCTCGATGCCCTTCCACTCCACACGTGTAGCACGTCAGAACCTTCCCTTGAAAATTTCTTCTCGCTACCGAAGAATCGCCTCCGCGCTGAGTAGATCTCAACAGATGTGCAGTGTCCTTGATGTCCCTTATCAACGAGTCCGTATTGGAATGCTCCTTGTTCAACATGAACGGCGCCGTTCCGATGAACTCCATCGCTAGGCCCTTCAGTATCTGGCCCTTCACCTCGCTCGCTGTCAATCCCACTCGTTTCGCCAACCGTTCCGTCCTTCCTGCGAACATATCCAATGACTCGCCTCGCTTCTGATAGCTACGCAGAAACTCTTCTAAGAGAACAACTCGATTACCCTCCGGAATAAATTTCTGCCTGAAGCGCTGTCTCCATTCATCCCATGTGGTCCATTGATCCAGATTATTGAGATGCCATAATCTCGCCGCGCCTACCATTTTCTCTAACAGAACGCCTTTCAAAAATTGTTCCGTCCATTTGCCCGTATCGTTAGCCACTTCTAGCTACAGTTTAGCCACAGTTCCGCTTCCATCTCACTTGCTCCCGCAAACCTATCCACGGTTCTCGAGGAGAACGAGACTCGCTCCACCGACCTGACTTCACCCCCGGCTCCAGCTGATACGGCGTCCAGAGTTCCTTCCTTCATCATCTCCTTCATAATGCATCTCATCATCGCCTTCGCCATTTGAGTCATGGACTCGTTGTCGCCGAATCCTCCTGGCGGCTGTTTCTCGTCACTCTGCATCCTGGATCGAAATCAGTTCTTTCTCGACACTCCACGTCACTTCACTTAGATCTCTTCACAGAGAACTCGAGTCAATCCCACCGCTGCTAAATGTAGGGGTTTTCCCTGTGGATTACTACTCGAATACGTTCTCTATGCTCGGGTACTGATTTATTCTCGGGCACACGCGTCCTCCTCGGACGCTGGCCGTTCAAGTACTGACTTCTCCCAACACATGCACGTCAACTCGCTTCGCTACGTTCACGGCATGTTCCTACGTTCCCTACAGGTGGTACTGCGGTACCCAGGGCTTTCCTCAGCGGTCTCTTGACCGACTGCACTTGGCGCTCGTAGAAACCACCGAACCACGGGGCGTTCGGGGTGACGAATTCCCATTTGATGAAGGAGTCCCCGAGATATCTCTTTATCTCTCCGTTTCATAGATCAATTTCAACTCCTTTGCCGCTCGCTGAAAGGAGAGTCCGTTGTCGGAGACGATGGTGTTGACCGATGGATATCGGTTGACGAACTTCTGAAGTGCGCCGAGTACTTCCACTGTGGACATGTTTTCCGTTAGGTGAAGATTAACGGCGCAAGTGAAGAGAAGTATGTAACTTTTCCCCTTTTCTCCCGAGTCTTTCTTGTATTTGATGGGCCCCGCGAAGTCGCATCCTGTTTAGAAGAACGGCGGAGCCATGCAGGGGCGTACGCAGGGGGGGGGGGGCGGTAAGGGGCGTATAGCCCCTCCCAGATGGTTTCTTCGTTATGCTGTAGTATAGGAGCGAATCGCCATATTGGATTTCAGCACCATGCGGAGACCCGATCTAGCCCCCCCAAGAAAAATCCCGCGTACGCCACTGGAGCCATGTCGACTCGAAAGGTTGGTAGCGAGGCTGTAGGTAGTGCTGCTGCCTGGCAGCGAAAAATCTCGCAAGTGGCGCAGGAAGAGATTACTCGACGAGCGAGTTTCCTCGCGTGTATGACCAGGAAGTATTCTCTGAGAAGATGTAGAATTGATGCAACGCCTCCGAAGTGGAAGCATTTTTCTCGTGGATGTATCGAATTAACAGAAAAGAGAGGTCGCTGTCCGCGGGGAGAATGACTGGTGACTTCTGATTTTCAGACAGCTGGGATGAGCATTCGAGCCGCGATTTGCAACGGATCAGACCGTTGTCATCAATGAATGGGCTGTACTGATAGAGGGTATTCTTAGGCTTGAGATTTCTGCAGGCGGAGATTACCTCCTCCGGGAAGTAGCTGCTCTGGATTAATTTGATCAAATCCAACCTGGCTGTTGTCATCTCTTCTGGATCGATGAGGTTCAAAGCGGTTTTCGGCCTAGCCGTACATTTTTGTTTCGTCTGTACTCTAGCTTTTGCCGATTGCGCTTTTTCTTTGAGTCGACGCATGAATGCCCGGAAGCGAATCGCTTTTAGCCAGCAAGAGAAGCTTTCTTCGAAAAATATTCTTCTCGCACCGACTTGGCTGGTCGGAAGTGCGACATGGAACGTCGCTATGTTCTTCTTCATTTCATTCTCGAGATGGGTTTGATCGACGTGAATGTGAGATGTGCTATCGGATTTCAGTGCTGCTCGTAAGTCGTTGTTCTTCTCGCGAAGCCACTGGGCCCGTTGAACCACAGCTCGGCAATCGATCGCTTTGAAATATCCGCTCCTCTGGATAGGATATCGGCTGGATTTTCTTCTGAGCGAACGTAATGCCACCTGGCCTGGCCAGCTAATTGATGAATTTTTCGAATTCTGTTTGCCACAAACGGTTTCCATCTTTCCGGGTTCGAGGCGACCCAGCCAAGAACCGCCGAATTGTCACAGAAGATGTTGACGGCGTCGATTTTGAAATCGAGCCATTCGAGGATTTTCTTCGTCATTCTCGCTGCGAGAAGTGCTCCGAGCAACTCCAGTCTGTGAATCGTGAATGCTTTCACGGGAGCGATTTTTGACTTCGAGAGAATGAATGCTACCGAGGACGGGGCCGCCCCTTGTTGCTCGTATTGTTCGAGCAGATCCCCTTTCAGGGCGTCGTCCATCCCGATTTTCTTCTTCCATAATTCCTGGAATAGCGATTTCGAGTTGACGACGATCGGGCTGATGATACCCAATGGATCGAAAATTTGAGCCGTCGCGTCGCTTCGACAAGCTTCCTCTTTGATGGAACTCCTGTGGTGAGTTCCTTAAGTGCTTTCGACGTTGGAGCGCTGAGTTCGTCCTGGATTTGATTCCATGGGACGCCAAGTACCTTATGGTCGGCCTGGCCGATGGTGATGGATGGATTTTCGACCGACGATGTTTGCTTGATGAATTCTCCGATTTCCGCGGAGTTTGCCGACCATTCATTCAGCGGGAAGTGTCCGTCGGTGAAGATTTCTGCGAGGACCTTCACTCGGTGTTTCAGCTCTTCTAAGGAGTCTGCTCCCCCTACTGACGTCATCCATGTAGAAGTTATCTCGAATTTCTTCGACGAATTGACGGTCCTCCCGGTGTTCACGGAGCGCTGCCCCCAAGTGGAATCTGATTCCCAGGCAATGGAGGAAAGGAGAACAGATGAGACCGAAGTCTAATCTTGTCGCCCAGAATTCTTGAATCCTTGCGGATCCGTCCTTGCTGATGTTAGGCGGCCAAAGGAACCTCAAGAATGTCCTGTCGCTGTCCGCAATTCTGAATTGCAAGAAAGCTTTCTCAATATCGGCGGTGAAGATGAATCGGTACTGACGGAATTTCAGGATGACTTTTCTTATTTCCGGTAGGAGATTCAGGCCACAGTGGAGGACATCATTGAGTCCTGCTTGATTTGAGCGCCTGGCGCTAGCGTCTTTTACGACTCGGGTTTTGAGGCCCGGGGGAGCGTCTGGTTTTGCTCTGAAGACAGCCTGTATAGGAAGATAGTGTGCGATGCTACCTCTTCTCTTCGGTTGAGCTTCCTCGGCGAAGCCTGCTTCCAGGTATCCCCTGATTTCATTGTCTACTGCCTCCAATCTAATTGGGTCTCGGTTTAACTTCTCAAGGAATGAGTGTAGACGGGATCTCGCCAAGTTTTCGTTGTCGCCCAGGGCGTGTAGATTCGACTTGAAGGGTAGCTTCAGAATGTATCGTCCTTCTTCATCTCGGCGGGGTGATTCCCTGAAGTGTTCGATTAGTTCTCGCATGAGGGAATCTTCTTCTTCTCGTTCTTCCTCCTTGAAATCTTCGTCGTACCCTGCATCCTCCGATTGCCACAAGAACTGGAGGTCTCGCAGACTTTGAGCTGCTTGGCCGTTTCTGTCGGCTTTATCTTCGGGGTTTGTCCCCGGAACGATGAGGTGGTCATCTGGAGTGGATGGTCGCGCCGGTTGGATCGTGTCGAAACCACAAAATCGGGAGAGAGGACTCTCGATCGTGGTAGCTCCCTGGGAGCCGCCGAAAACCCATCCGAACATTTAATTGAAGGCGAAGTGATCTCCGATAGCTTTGGGATCTGTGAATTTGATTTTTGTCAATTGATCCTGTCCCAAGAGAATGTCCACCAATTGATCGTTGGTACGTGCGATTGAGTCGGCTACTGGCGTGAGGTTGAAGTCTTGTTCCATGACCGAGAACTCCGATCTTGAAATACAGTCAAGCTCGATGGCTCTGAGCCGTAAAGTTCTGCTCGCCTGATGTCTGCTTCTCAGGGTCACATGGTGTACTCCACAATTCCGGATGTCCGTAATTTGTCCTCCTGCAGTCCCCATCGTGAGATCCAGGTGTGTGAAAGGTCTCGATTTCAATTTTTCGGTGAGAGCTCTTGTCACGTGAGAGGCTTGTGATCCTGGATCGATGAGAATGCGACACGGTACCTTGGTGGAACCTACTTCCGCCCATGCCGCCGCCGTCCACAGGAAAACTGAGTCGCCTAGAGTGTCCATGTCCATGTTGACTGATAGGTTTGCCTTCGGCTTGCCGCTGGTATTCTTGGACGACTTCGGGCAGATGATCGCGTAGTGGCTCGCGTTGCAGAATCGGCACTCGGTCTTCGGGCCTTCTCTGCAGTATTTCGCATCGTGGTTGAGCTTCAGACATTTGAAGCAAGCTCTGGCGGCCAGCATTTTTTCTTGACGTTCCTGATACGTCAGAGGCGTCGTGCATTTGAAAGGGGGATGGTCGCCTTCGCAGAATCGACACGGAAGGCTTTGTCCTCTGGGAGGCTCCCTGGGAACTGATCGGCTCGGGAACGCTGATGAAGCCACGTGAAAGCTGTTTGAGGAGTCCTTGAAGGTTGTCGTTGTTGAGAGTCGTCTGCTACGGCGCTGAGAAAGCACGCGTGCACGACACTGTCGAGAAAAACTAAAAATTCTCGTGTTTTTTCGTGTCCAAAATACGTGTTAATCCCCAAGAAGGGGATAAAACAACGGTTGGCATCTATCGTAAGTATCGAGTGTGTCAATCGCCGTCAAAAATACCTTGATTCGCGAAATGAGTCTCAAGGCCTGCAGCAAGTGTCACACCGAGGCGGAAAGAATACTCGCCTCCACCACAAAATGCTGTGTTTTCGGTGAGTTGAAATCTAGAGCGGAACAACTGCTCAAATCTAAACTCGTCGCCGACGAAAACGCGATGGGCCACTCGATGGAGGCAGAAAGGATGAGGTCAGAGCTCATCGCCGCAAAAACTCAAATAGAGGAGTTAAATACACAACTCGATGAGTTAAAAGAAAAAATAAAGAGATATCTCTTAAACTAGAGGAAACAAACAAAATCCTCGAACAACAGAAGTTGGAGATCGGCGCCGTGGAAACCGCACAGGCCATCAGAGGTATGAATATCGGTGCGGCTCAACTGGCAGACGCTACCCGAAATCCGTGTATAATACTTTACTCGGACAAGGGTCTGCGGAAGCTCCGTAGAGGAAAGCCCGATGTCGACCTTTACACCAACTTCGCTGGGCAAGTGACTTTCGGAGAATCGATCTGCCGAAAAGGGCTAACGATTACTGAGACAGTTGCAGGTATCAGCGAGTACCTCGACCAGCACCCAGAGATGGAGGCACACATCATCTGTCATCTGGGAAGAGCAGAGGTGGCCGCGGCCGTCCAGAGCGAAACGCCTCTGACGATCGAGGACACCGCCAAACAGATCATCAAACCCTTAGCGGGCCTCAAAATGAAGCGCGGGGTTCTAACAGTAACGTGGTGTACGATGATGGAACCAAAACAAGTTCCGAACACCGCGGCTGTCAATAGAGCGATC